TCATTTTCTTCAACCTGCACAAAAACAACAAAAAAGAAAGCACTTGTTTAAAAGTTATTTCTAATTTGCACCAACACTATTATTTTGAATCAGTTTTGATAATGTCCTCCAGTTAATATTTGACACTAACTCACAGTTGTTCTGTAGATATGTCAAACTTGTTTTCGGCCCACGGCTCTGGGAACAAGTACCCCATGCCTGGAAACTTCCAGTAGTACTTTAAACACAAAGACACAAAACATCTTTAAGAGGGATGTCAGTGTTTCCCCGACATTACTGGATGCTTGTTGGCTGGGGGGGTGGAACGCTCCGTTACTAATGCTAGGTCGAAGTCACTTATCCTGTGGCTACATCCTCTATCCCCTGTCCAGAAGAAGTCATGGGATTTTCTGTATTGGTAGGTAGGGTGCTAGATTTTGTTTACAGGGCGGGGCGTTCTCCTTGGGTGATGGTAGGGGACCCACTGGATTTAGTAGCAGGCACATGAAGCAGATGTAGTAAAAGTAAAAGTTCCCGGTGAATCCATATTACCCATTGAAAGGGATGAGCCGGAAAAGACTGTCGATCAGCGTTGAATGCTCCCTCCAAAACGACCCCATCAGGCACCACACCTGAAAGATGAAACGGGTAAACAGTCTCTGCTTGATGAGCCAACGCTGCAGTGGATCGCTGTCGTCTTAAATCAGCACCAGTCCTCACAGTCCCATCGTGGTTCACACCAGCGCCATTCCTTAGATCTTTATATCAAATTCTCATTGCGTGGTTCTTACTGGGGGTGGGCATTTTAAGCCAAAACATTCTCCAAATTCAACAAAAAAGGTTAAATCGTGTCATCTGGACAGTTTCTTTTTGGGAGAAACGTTTCATCTTTCATCCAAAATACTCCATCAGTCTGAGGCCTGCCACCAACATCTGTCTATAAACAGCACCTCCTTGACGTGCTTCAAGCCAACCTGGAGTTCCCAGAAACTGGCTGTACACGTGCAAACAGGGGGAAAGGGCATGAAACACATCAATGAGGTGCTATTTATAGATAGATCTAGGTGGCAGGCCTCAAACTGATGAAGTCTTTTTTTTTTTCATTCAACCTTTATTTGTACAGGTTAGCCTCACTGAGCCACGAGGACTCATTTACAAGAGGGACCTGTAAACAGATGTGTTTCTTCTGGTTTGGGGGTTAGGTCGTTTTTATTCATTTATTGTGCAGTAGAAAGTTAGAGCCGTGTGAATGTGGCACATCTGTTGGAGCACACAAATATGAATTGTCTCAAACAACCGGGATGGTTGGCACGTGTTTTTGTTGTTTCGTTGTGCCGACTGCTTCACAGCCGTGCGCTCTTGTCATAGTCAACCCACCTAGTTTTTAATGTGCAGGTGACAACAATTGCACAAAACATCAAGAATATTCCTGGTTAGCCGAAGATCGTGACCTCTGAACAATCTGAAACATCGTGCGTGCAAACGAGTGAACTGCTCAGATCAAACATTGCTGTAATGAACACATCAAACACATGTCCAATATGGCCTCACCAAGAGTTCTCAAGAAGATGTCTTCTCAGAATAACAAGGTCAAACTGAAAGTCTGTTTCAGGTTTTACTTTGATTTGGAGGTAAACAGGACCGGCTAACGTGCAGCTGAAAGGGACAAATGTTAACATTTGTGATTCCTACAAAGATGAAATGAGTGAAACTAAAGGAAGAATTATCCTCTTCACTGATCCTTTTTGCTTTCTGTCCCTTGGTGTCCTCAGGAAGATCTTCGCCGCCCTCTTGTGCTTTTGGATGAAAGAAGAAACGTTTCTCCCAAAAAGAAACTGGCCCAGATGACATGACTGAACCTTTTTTGTTAATTTATTTACCTGGATGACTGAGCTTTTAAACCTCTTGACTGATAAACCTGTTAGTCGGGATCTTTCTATTCTGGTTCTGGATTCTGGCAGTAAAGCTGAGCTCACCTGTAACCGTAGTTTCCACTTTATAATCATTTACAATAAACTACAGCAGCTTACACTTGTCAGAAGGTAGAGAAGAAAGTGCTGAGTCCAAAAAGCACCAACAGAAAACAACTGCACCAGATTGTTGTTCCGGCTGCTCTCTTCTTCAGGGGCCTCCACAGTGACACACGTGAACACTTGAGTACTTGTCTGCTGTGATCTAAGCACTTTCTGTGTGAACTGATTTGGAGATCCACGCCTCTTCAACATGACTTCAACACGACTTCAACGCGACTTCAACGTGACTTCAACGCGACTTCAACGCGACTTCAACGCGACTTCAACGTGACTTCAACACGACTTCAACGCGACTTCAACGCGACTTCAACGTGACTTCAACACGACTTCAACACGACTTCAACGCGACTTCAACGTGACTTCAACACGACTTCAACGTGACTTCAACACGACTTCAACGTGACTTCAACGCGACTTCAACGCGACTTCAACGTGACTTCAACGCGACTTCAACGCGACTTCAACGCGACTTCAACACGACTTCAACGCGACTTCAACGTGACTTCAACGTGACTTCAACACGACTTCATCGCGACTTCAAAGCGACTTCAACGTGACTTTAGCCGTTAGCTCGTCAGTACTGTCACAACTAAACTGTTTCTCCAAACGGAGATTGTCCACAAATGTATCTACAACAAGTAAGATATTGATTCTTTATAACTTTTCCATAAAATCTTACACCAAAATGACAGAAATATCCCATAAAGACAGAAACACCATCCACTGATTTGCTTTGACCAGATAAATAAAACTTACCTTGCTCAAGCAGCTTGACTGTCGTCATCATGGATACTCTGTAAAGAAAAATTCATCTTTGTTACGTTGAGTCTTAGAACAAACTGTTGCTTAATTTGATCAGTTTTCGTTACAAACGCTCCACAGACTGGTTTCTTCTTGAAACAACTAAAACATGTTTGAACTCAAACAGTTGCTTGTTTTTGTTCCAAGTGACATTAAATTAAAGTCAAACAGTCGTTTAGAAACTTGGACTTGTGTGTCTGTTAACTGACCCGGTGCCGAGGGAGTGGCCCCAGAGCACCAGCAGGCTGTCTCCACAGCGGGCCTTCACCCAGTTGTACAGATAAACGGCGTCCGCAGACAGACCGGACAGAGTCGGCTCCCCCGTGGAGTCTCCGAAACCTGCCAGAGTTCCTCACATCAGCTTGAGCTCACTGAGAAACCTCAGAGCGACTCTTTGCTGCCACCAGAGGGCAGCCACTCCGAGGACACAAGAACCACCCGAAGCTGCTGTCTTTGAACCACCGCACAGAAAATGAGCCACAAAGACGCTGGACCACAGTGTCAGGAGCCGTGTGGCTTCAAAACGTGTTCAATGAAAGAGAGAGGTGGAAGTAAGGAATGTGCCGTACCTCTGTAGTCAGGAACCAGCACGTGGTAACCAAGTGCACTCAGTAGCTGTTCAGAAACAAAGATTATTATTATTATTGCTGAGAGTTACAATGTAGAAAAATTAAAGGATCTCTGGCCCATCTGAAGTGGAGCTGAGGTCAAAGTTGTGGTTCTTATTATGGTTTTTATAGAATGCCCTTTATTTATTGTTCTGTGCTCCACTGCGACGCTTCGCTTGGTTTAAAGTGCTTTATAAACAGAGCAATGGACAGATGATCATCTTGTATTTGCAGTGGTGCAGTGGTTACAGTGATTGTCTCTCAGTGAGTCACAGGTTCGCCTCCTGGCCTGGCCTCTCTGTGTGGAGTTTACATGCTCTCCCCACAGATCAAAAACACATTAGGTTCATGAGTAACTCTAAAATGTCCCTAGGTGTAAGTGAGAGTGTTTGTCTCTATGTGTCCCTGTGATGGACTGGACACTGTCCAGGGTGTCCCCTGCCTCTCTTACAGAAGACACCAGCTCCCTGTGACCCTGAATGTAACAAAGCGAGTAAAGAAAATGGACGGACTGATGTACCAACATCTGTTCTGACCTTACTTAAAAGTAACGTTTCATCAAATGGTTAAGATGAATCTGTGGGGGGCCAAGGCCACCCTTGGCCACCCTCTGGCTCCACCACTGCACCTGGTGGATGAAACTGCTCTCCACTCTCCAGGATCTCTCTCTGCTCCGCCTCAAACAAGAAGAAGGTTTAAAACCTCGCTCTGTTCTTCACAGTGTAACTCCTCCACACATGAACATCTCACATAAAAAACATTTAGGTTTACTTCCATTCTCTGTTCAATTCCAGTCCAGAAAAACACTCATCTCCAAAACTAAAATATCCACCATTCACATCCCTCAGAGACAGGAGACATCCACAGGTTGGTTATTTTTCAGTTTTAGCCGTTACTGGCAGGACCTGTGATGAATGTTTTTATTTTGTAAATTATTTGAAGCTGGACATATTTTATGAACTTTAAAAAAAAAAAAAAAATGAAAATAGTGTGTTCAATACAAAAAATTTAAACCTTAAAGTGAAATACTGGAACTAATTATTGCTGCAATTAGAGGTTCCACTGATTGTAATAAACGTAAATGCAGTATTTAATACTCGTATCAGTACTCAGTATTGGCAAGTACTCAACTGTAAGTACCTGCACTGTACTTGGTTTGAAAAAGTAGTATTGATTCAT